GGGGAAGGAGGGGAAGGAGGAGGGAGAGGAGTAGAGAAAGGAGGAGGAGGAGGGAGAGGAGGAGCAGGAGGGGAGGCAGAGCTCTAAGTCTTGGAGGACATCACCTAAGTGACGCTGTGGTTGGCCAGCCAGCGCCCCAGTGCCGTAGGATCTCCGGGCCAAGCCCGCTGCATGGGCTGATCTGGGGTGGGAGCAGGTGGGGGGCTCCCCTGGTCCTTGTTAGGGTCCAGTTTCCCTGGAAGGGGTCCTTAGACACAGGCCGACAGGGCCCCTGGCCCTGGCCCAGCGCGGGCACGTGGGCGGCAGCCAGCAGGGAGAGCACAGAGCCTGTGGCCGCCCGCAGGCCTACGAGGGGGTGCTGCAGCTGGTGGAGGCACGCGGGCGCTACGAGGAGCTGTGCATCGTCATGTGCGTCATCCCGGCCACCATCAGCAATAACGTGCCCGGCACCGACTTCAGCCTGGGCACCGACACCGCCGTCAACGCCGCCATGGAGGTACAGCATGAGCGTGAGCGCGGCAGCGGGGGCTGTGGGGGCGCGGGCCTGGCGGGCACAGCGTGGCCCTCCCCCGGGCCAGGTGGGGCCTGTTCTGCTCTCTGCTCCTGCGATGGGGAAGGTGGGGCCCGTTTCCACGGCAGCTGCACGTGGTTCTGCACATGTGTGGCCCTTCGGGTATCGTGTGGAGACTGTCCAGAGCTTGCCGCGTTTGTGTTCTGTTCCGCGGGTGACCACTCTTTGCCCGTGGAGGACCCGACCCAACCCGCGGGCAAGTGCTGCCGGCGCTCCTCCCCCGCCCTGTCCGCGCTGTGTCTCAGCCTCAGGGCTCGTGTCCCGTAAGCTGCCCAGCTCGCTCTGTTTCCTTTTTCTTACTTTCGTCTTCAGCATCCAGTTTTCCTTTCCACACTGCACCGCGCAGTTAGAATCCTCATGCGGCACGTCGCCCCCGGCATCTGCAGGGCAGCTTTCGCTTATGCGTGTGCCTCCGTGGGGACCCCACATGGCAGGGCCGCCCCTGGTTAGGATGAGGCCACGGATGCTCAGGGTGCACCTGGCCCACGGCGGGGAGAGCCTGGCCGCGGCACCCCTGCCTCTGCCCCCCGGGTGCCGGCACCCTGCCCTATCGGGACAGCTGAGTGTCTCCGGGCAGGTCCATTGTCCCTGGGGGGTGGGATCGCCCCTGGTGGAGAACCCTCGACTCTGTGTGGCCTGGGTGGGAGGGGGGCCCACGCCTGGCGCTGCACGTGGGAGTGAGAGCCGCCACCTCTCGATCCTGTCAACCCCGAGGCTGGCTTGGAGAGACACGGGTCCCTGCAGTGTGGCAGTGTCCTGTGACCCGCTGGGGGTGGGGGCACATGGAGGACCCTGACCCTCTCGGCCCCCAGAGCTGTGACCGCATCAAGCAGTCGGCCTCGGGGACCAAGCGCCGCGTGTTCATCGTGGAGACCATGGGGGGCTACTGCGGCTACCTGGCCACCGTGGCGGGCATCGCCGTGGGGGCTGACGCCGCCTATGTCTTCGAGGACCCTTTCAACATCCACGACTTAAAGGTGAGTCCGGCCCCTCCTACGACACACAGGACCTGGGCAGGGCGGGGCGGGGCTGGGGGCCCCGCTGTCCTGTCCGCCCCTCCCGGGCTCCCTCAGCCTCCCAGCAGCTGTGTCCTCCCCTGCAGACCAACGTGGAGCACATGACGGAGAAGATGAAGACGGACATTCAGAGGGGCCTGGTGCTCCGGTGAGGCTGGGGGCGGGGGGTCCCTCTGGGCTGTGGGCAGGGCCGCCGAGGACGGCTGGGCAGGAAAAGGCCGGGCCCTTGACAGGGTGGGTGGGGGTCCAGCGTTCCTGGGAGCTGCCGCCTGGTGGCCTGGCCTATGGGACCCCCCCAGCCAGGCCCCGGTGCCCTCTCCAGGAACGAGAAGTGCCACGAGCACTACACCACGGACTTCCTGTACAACCTGTACTCGTCGGAGGGCAAGGGCGTCTTCGACTGCAGGACCAACGTGCTGGGCCACCTGCAGCAGGTACAGGCGGGAGGTGCGGATCCGGAAAGTGGGTCCGTGGTACTCGCCGCATCTGTGCCCGTGGCCCAGGGTCCCAGGAGGACGGCCCTTGCTGACCACGCACACACGTGCGTTCACACCAGGCCCTGCTCATGTGGCCGTCCAGCTCCCACACACCCTGGACGGCGTGTGGCTGAGGCCTCACCTCTAGGAGGGGGTGGGATGGGGCCCAGACCAGGGCATTCGGGCCGAGCCGAGCTCCCCATACCCCGCCAGGAGGCCCAGGCGCCCGCATTCTCCTGCGCCCACCTCTGCCTCCTGGTGGCTGCCAGCGGCCCGCGTCGTGGGTTTCTCAGCCGGGGGAGGGGCAGCCAGGGTTGGACGACATGAGGTCTGTGGTGCGACCATGGCCTGCCAGATGCAGGGGCCCAGGGGCCACCCCACTCAGTGATAAGACAGCTGAGGTGGCCTCTGTTGGCCTCTGGAGGTGGCTTCCAGGCTGGGGCCTCCAGGCATGGACAGGAAGGGTGGGTGTCCAGAGGCTGCCCAGAAGGCTCACCATGTGGTTCCGGCTTGGCAAGCTGCGGCTCGCGTGCTGGCATGGGCGCCCCGTCTATGTCGGGGCTGGGCCTCCTCCTCCCCTCGTCCTGGGCCGCCCCGGCCAGTACTGGAACGGGGGTTGCCTGTTTCCAGGGCGGGGCTCCAACCCCCTTTGACCGGAACTACGGCACCAAGTTGGGGGTGAAGGCCATGCTCTGGATGTCGGAGAAGCTGCAGGCGGTCTACCGCAAGGGTATGTCGGGACAGGGTGGTCCCAAAGCCCGACTGTGCCCTCTGAGGGGCCCTGGGGTGGGGTCAGCCTCAGGGGCCGCCACGTGCCTGTGTCCACAGGGCGGGTGTTTGCCAACTCCCCCGACTCGGCCTGTGTGATCGGCCTGCAGAAGAAGGCCGTGGCCTTCAGCCCTGTCATGGAGCTCAAGAATGACACCGACTTCGAGTAAGTTCCACCGAAGTCACTTGGAGGGCTAGAGGCTGAGGGGCTGGCAGACCTCGCAGGGGGCAGGGGCAGGAGTGGGGCCAGGCCCCACACAAACCCCAACCCCATGCGACCCCCAGTCCCCCATGCCTGGAGTCCGCCCCACGGTGTGGAGGGCAGGGGTCTGGCCCAGGGTCTTCTCCCCGACACAGGGCAGTGTGCGGTGTGGGCCAAGCAGGGCAGGCAGGACTGGTCACGTTGGAGGGCTGACACCCCTGACCCCTCCTCTGTGCCACTGCGACGTGCTGAGAGGGAGGGCGCGCAGGCTGGGGCGTGGCCCTGGCCCACGGAGCTGCCCCACCCTGAGCCCGGGCCCCACCCGCAGGCACCGCATGCCGCGGGAGCAGTGGTGGCTGAGCCTGCGGCTCATGCTGAAGATGCTGGCGCACTACCGCATCAGCCTGGCCGACTACGTGTCCGGGGAGCTGGAGCACGTCACCCGCCGCACCCTGAGCATCGAGAAGGGCTTCTGAGGCCGTGGGCCGTGCCCTCACCCCGCACCCACCACCTCTGGCCTGCCCCGTCTCCCCGTCCCTGGCACGGACGCCACCCGCCAGACCTCCCGGGCCTGCTATTGTGAGACCAGCCTGCCACCTCCTCCAGGACAGAGCCCCGGCGGCACCCACCTTCCTGCCCGGGGGACGTGGGCTATCGGTGCTTGGACGCCGCTGCCCGCAGCCTTGGCACCCCGTGGGGGCCTCAGCCTCCCCCCACACCAGCGGCCCCACCCTCACTGGCCCACGGGCTGCCAGTGCCCAGGTCTGCACGCTGAGAAGGGGCCATGTCCCCCAGTCCTCACTGTGACCTGCTCCCGCCACCACTGCCACCGGGTTGAGCAGTGTTTGTCACCTTTTCTAGAATAAACACCCTGACTGTGGAGCTCAACAGCCCCTGGAAGCACAGCTACGGAACCAGGGTGGGCAGGATCCCTCAGGCTGTGGGGTCCTCTGCCCCCAGGGCTGGCTGGGCCCCAGGGACATGAGCCCTTTGGGCCAGTCACTCTCCAGGACCAGCCAGAGCGTGACCTTCTGCAGGGTCACCAGGGTGACCCGAGCCCTCCCTGGCCCTGCTCCATGGGGAGGAGGCTGCAGCCTCAGTCCTCCAGACCTCGGGGGTTTCTGAGCCTGGTTCCTGGGGCCAGATGCTCCCAGACACAGCCTGGGGGTCTCAGAGCTGTGGGCTAGTGCTGACCTGAGCCGTCCACGCAGGAGACCCTCGGGGAGGGCAGGCGAGGAGCGGGCAGGAAGGCAGCCAGGAAGATGCGTCCCCACTGGGGGTAGGAGGCCGAGTCCCACTGGGCAGTGTGCACCCGCTGGGAATGCAGAACCTCGGCACACCCTGCAGCCCAAGTCGAACTGCCTCAGGACCCCCTTCACCGCACGCGCTGAAGTTCAGGGAGCTCTGTGTGCTGCACGCTCCACGCTCCACGCTCCCTTCCCACCGCCGAGGAAGCCGGGCGCTTACAGACGAGGGCAGCTCCCTGTCCCTCAGCTTCGAGTGGAGCTTCAGGACGTGGTTTGGGGACCCAGGATGTTTCTCAGGGGAGACCCTGGCCTCGAGAGGTCTATAGGCCACGCTGGGGGCCCCTGGGTCGGGGGTCTCCTGGGTGGATCTGGGTCAGTTGGGCGGCTCTAGGGAGCAAGTGGGGGCGGGGACCCTCCTTCCCAAGCCTGGAGCCTCTCGGCTCCTCATTTCTGGGGCCCTCTGGTCCATCCTGCCTGCCAGGAGCGGGACATTCCTGGGAGGAGAGAAAGCCGAAGATCTGGATCTCTGTCTTAAGAGACTGGAGAGATGGGTCCGTAAGGCCCAGAGGCCCGTGTGTGCATGTGTGTGCACGTGTGTGCAGGTATGTATGTGTGCGCATGTGAGCACGTGTGTGTTGGAAGGGTGGGACTCAGGTGTGCAAATACCTTAGGGGAGACCCTGGCTAATGTCACGTGTTGCAGACATGGGGCAGGAACCACATCCACCTGTAGAGCCACATGTCCCCCCATCTCCCCATGTCCACAATCAGACCCTCCTCCAAGCTGCTTCAGGCCAACTAGCCCAGCACCCAGCATCACAGCACCCTGCACCCCAGCACCCACCACCCACTATCCCCAGCAGCCAGCGCTGAGCATGGTGAGAGTAGAGCCCTCGATTGTGGGTGAGGTCTCATGTAGGGGTGCAGATGAGGGTGCAGGCCAGCAGGTGACTCTGTGTCACCCTGACAGGCTGCTCTGAGCCCAGCCCTCTCCCAGGCTGGGGAAAGGAATTCAGCCACACCACAGTGAGGCACCCGCTCCACTCCCTGGCTGTTCCCATGCCCTGGCCAGTGCCCCTCGGAAACCAAGGCTCCCCAGGGCCGCTCTGTAGGCAGGGGGTGCTGGGGCGGGTGGCCTGGGGAATGCTGGAGCCCGCGCCCATCTCCAGAGTTGGTGCCCTCCAGGGACACCACAGCGGAGACCCTGCTGCTTCTCTAACTTCCACCTGCCTGGACTGGAGTCCCCACCCCAGTGTGCCACAGGCTCCCTCTGGGGCAGAAGCCATGCGAGTGCTTCCACGCGGACAGCCGTCACCGGAACCACCAGTGTCCTCCTGCGGACCGAGGGCAGCCTGGGTGTGGGCGCAGAATCAGAAACGCCCCACCCCTTCCCTTCCTGCTGCCCTTGCAGATCACCGTCAGCAGAACGAGAACAGCCAGTGTCCCCAGGACCCGGGGCTCTCTCCAGCCCTGGCACACGCGGCGGGAAGCAGGAGGGTCTGCTCCGCAAACGCAGGCTGCAGGGCACTGAGGCCAGAGAGGGTGTGGGGAGGGCCCAGCCCACCTGGCACAGTCGGGTCACCGGGGTGCTGCCCACAGAAACTGGACCAAGGCTGCGGTGGGGCACACCAGCTCCCGCTGGCCCTGGTCGCACAGCCAGGGGTGGTCAAGCTAGCAGGCTGCGGCCAGTTCAGTCTGCGCCACACTCAGGGGTTAGGACTCAGTTCTGGAGGGAACCCCTCAGCTTGTCCTGCTGGTTTCGGTGCTGGAACCACCCAGCTGCCCATCAGCCACTGGCCACTGGCCCTGGGGATGCCAGGTGAGCACCCCTAGGTGATGCCTGAGGCACGGACTGGCCACCCTCCTTCCTGGGAGGACTGGTGTGTCAGGCCCACTTCTGGCCACATGGGGTCACTGTTTCTGGCCGAGGGCTGTATCCTCCTGGGCCTCAGTCCTCTCCTCTGTGGACAGGGCTAACAGGACACACACAGGGGCCCACACCCACTCTGGGGTTCCTTGGAGAGGAGTCAGGGTGGGGACTGTGGAGGGATGTCAAAGCCAGAATGACGTGGGCCCGGGGAAGGCGGGCAGGAGCGCGTGTCCGCGATGCAGCCTGAGGGTGTCAGAAGGGCGCTGAGTGGAAGCGGCCGGGGGTGCCAATTTGGGGGGAGGGGGAGGCGAGGGGCCGAGGGCAGGCTGCTCACCTGTGGGCCCAACACGACAGCCCCCAACTACAGCGGGAAGGTGTGGGACGGAGGCCAGTGCAGGTCCCATGGCACTTGCGGGGCCCACACTGGGGGGAGGGGAGGGGGGCCCCCAGTGTATAGCAACCCCGCTTGTGCTCAAAGACAGCGCTTTATTGATGAGGCACAGACGCTGCCTGCAACCTTCCATCTAGGCGTCCCCAACGTGGTAACTCCTTGCTTCCCGTCGCTGAGATCACACCCTCACCTGAAATAACGCCGCAGGTGGATCGCCGCCCTTCACCCTGGGCTTGCCCAGGGCCAGCGTCCAGTGGCCACCAGTGTTTTGAAAATGGCTTGTACCATGAGTGGAGCTTCATCTTCAAACAACGGCCCAGGAGAGCGAGTGGCCTTGCAAATGCTGTCACTCTTGTCATGGGCTCCATGGTCTCTGCAGCTACACACACCTGATGTGCTCTAGCTTGTGTGTGGACGTGTTAGAGGCCTGGGCTCCAACCCCGCACGGGAGGAAGGGCTGAGGAAGGTCACCGCTGTCCTGCCCCAGTCCCCACCTTCTAGCACAGCCAGAGCTGGGTCTTCTCCATAAGGCGCGAAGGCTGCGCTCTCCTTTCACGGGAACACACCCTTGGTTTCTGGGGGCACCACCTGCATCCTGGCATCCTCTGCCCAGAGGACAGCTTCTGGACCACGCTCCAGCTGGTCCCCCAAGGCCCTGCTCGGCAGGCAGGCCCACTGCTGCGGCAGCCTCCGTGGAGAGGCAAGAAAGGGCAGCGTCCCTGCGCTGCTGTGAAAACACCCTTCCACGGCAGTGGGGCCGCAGCCTGCCGAGGAGGACCCTGGGAAAGCTTGTTCTCGGGTCTCCCTGGTCGACAAACCCAAATCGCTCACGATCGGGTCCCCCATCCTGCTGAGAAATGGCGCTTACCTTTAGGAAGAATGTCAAGGCCAGGCCTGCCACTTGGGGAACGTCTGCTTCCAGTTCAGACTTAGAAATACTTTATTAGGGAGGATGTCCCCAAAATCCCTCCCATGGAGAAGAGCCCTGACCCTCCCGACCGTAAGAGAGTCCTGGGATGTGCAGGTGTGGGCAGGTGTCTCCGCCAGCCCAGGCCCAGGATCCTTCTCAGCCACGGGCACAGGGCCGGGTCCACCCAGCCAGCACCCGGCACCCTCCTGCCCTCGGCCCCGGCAAACCGAGGGTGGCTTTCCTGCGAGGGGCTAAGGCCGTGGCCCTCTAGCTCCCAGGTGATGGGGGAAGACACCGGGGTCCACGTGGAGGCCTGGAGGCTCTGGGCCCTGGCGACAGTCACTCCACCTGCTCCGGCAGCTCCTGCTCCCGCAGGGCCCGCAGCCGGCTGCCCGCAGTCTGCTGCACGGCCTCCAGCCCCTCCACGTCCAGCTCCCGCAGCAGCAGCAGGATGGCTGTCAGGACGTTCTGGGGGCAGAGAGTGCTACTGAGCCCCGGGCAGCACAGAGCTGCTGCGCACCACGGGCCCCGCCAGTACGGCCCCACCAGGGAGGGAACAGCCTCAGGGACGGGCCTTCAGACAGCCAGCTGCACAGGAACCACAGGACACGAAGGAAAGTCCGGGGCAGAGGGAGCAGCAGGACCTGGCCAGGTGGCCCCTGCCACTCACCCTATTCTTGTGACTGTTCGAAACGTCCCTCTGCGAGAAGGAAGGAAACCGGTCCTGGGAAGGGGCCTTCAGGCGGAGCTGGTCCTGGATGCTGCTGGTGAGGGGATGGCGAAGGCAGGCGAGGGTCAGAGGGGCTGGGGAACGGTCACGTTTGCAGATGGTGTCTGCAGCTCACGGCTCGCAGGGAGGAGACTCCGAGTCACACAGATGGGCTTCCCCCACCCCAGCACGTGGGGGACGCATAGGGAGGCTGACTCCAGTGGGTGGGGACGTTCCAGATGGCACCTGGGCAGCTAGGGCACACGGGATGGTGGCCCCAGCACTTACTTATCTTTCATTCCTGGGGGCAGCCTCCTTGCACCCTGGGCCCCCACTAACTGTAACACCTTCCGCCCAGGTCTCGGGCAGGGGACAGCGAAACACAGCAGGAGCCCAACATGTGGGCACTGGCGCTCCTGCACAGGGGGCCTCCTGGGTCAGTGGCGGAGGAGCCACGCGAGTGCTGCCCATGGGCCAAAGCCCGGGCGTTAGCAGCTGCCCACCTTGGAGGTCGCATCCCAAGGCCCCCCACTGCAGGGACACACTCAGCCCTGGGGTGCTCCGAGGAACTGTCTCTACAACACGCCCCACGGTGTTTCTGCTCCAACTACCCCCAGAGTGCCCAGGCTGCACTCTAGGCGCTGTGTGGGTCAGCTCCATAGCCCCCCTGCCCCTCGGGCCCGAGGCACACAGCAGCCACACCGAGGGGCACACTCGGCTCTCACGCACCCCACTAACCACCATACTGGGAATGGCCTCCAGGCTGCGGCTTCCACCGAGGCCCTCCGTGCTCTTGCACAAACTCCCACCACTGGTCTTCCCCGCACCCCTCCCTGGCTACAGGAGCTGGTCCGCAGCCTCTTACCTCTCCCCTGCACACCTGCAGCCAACAGGACACAGAAATGCTACTGAAATCACCACTGCAGGGTGACTGGGGTCACTCCCGGGGAGCACAGAGAAGGAACAGCCGTCCTAGATAACCCTCTCCCCTACTCCCAGAGATGCAGACCGCAGGAAGCCCCCGTGACCCTCTGTGGGAGGCCCCGCTCCCCCAAGCCTCACTCTGCCTCCTCCTCGCAGCAGCTCAGCGGGTCCCGGCCGGTCTCAGCGGTGGAGCTGCTGGAGCTCAGCATGCAGGACGGCTGCTCGGGGCAGCTGCTGCCCACGCCCTCTCTGCCGGGGGCGGTGATTTCCTCTCCCTCCATCAAGGCGCGGGACAGCTCCTCCTCCGTCACAGCTTGGGGGAGGACAGAGAAAGGACATTAGAGTGGCCTTAGCGCGTGCCAGCCACATGCACCACTGTGCGACGGCACCAGTGCCCCAGGTTCGCGACCGTGGAGCTGAGCCCGCCTGGTCCCTGTGGGCCAGCGTGACGCTGCTGGGCAGGACAGACGCGCACATCCTCACTGGGCACAGCATGCATGGTGTGCAGAGCAGCCCTGCTCTTCAGAGGACGACAGGAGAGACACAGCACCAAGCTGCGCCTGCTCAGGGGGGCCGGGGGAGCCCAACACCACGCCCAGGCTGAGCGCTGCGTGCAGGCGCCGACTGCACTGCCACTTCTGGAAGGAGAAGTGTGAACCTGGGAACAGCTCCTCCAGGAGACTATACAGGGGACAGCTGCTCTTGAAAGACCAGGAATTTGCAGAGAAGAAGAGGAGAGAGGAACAGGGAACCTCCCCGTCAGGGCCTGTGCCACGGTGCAGGTGGGCGGGTGTGCCAGCGTGACCCTGTGGGCCACGGACACCTACCTTGATTGTCCAGTTTCTGGAGGCTGGGCAGGTTACGCAGCACGGTCATGCGGTAGCGGTGCGGGTTGGCGCCGCAGCACGGGTTCTCGGCCAGCCACAGCACCCTGAGGTGCGGCAGGTCCTTCAGGTAGAAGAGCTCGGCCAGGCTGCGGATGCAGTTCCTCCTCAGGTACAGCTCGCTCAGGTGCTGGCACCGGCTCACGGGCTCCAGGTTGGAGACGCTGTTGACGCTACACGGAGACCCACAGTCGGCGGCTGGCGGCGCTCGGGCTTCCGAGGTCTCGTCTCAATCACAAATGCCAGAAAAAGCCCTCACGGGGCCTGTGCCCACCTGCCCACCTTTCACGGGTGAGGAAACCAAGGCCCCCCAAGCCTGAAGCAGGCAGAGGCCAGAACACACAGCAGAAAATATACGCAAGCTCCCCGTCACACAGGACTGAGCGCCGAACTTCCACAATCCCACGTTAAAGAAGAAACAAAGGCTACGGGTTTAATTTCCCTGCCACAGGAATGTACACACATCAGAGAAACAGGCACAGGAAGCATGCGGCAGAGCCCCAAGTGTAAACCAGCAGGCTGTGGGGACCCGTCCCCTCCACAACCAGGCGGAGCCACTCGCGGCGCGAGGCTCAAAGGTGGCTCCCAAGGGCCAGGGACGCTGTGCTGTGCCCGTCCACCTGCAGCGTCCCTCGAGAGGGCTGCGCTGTCTGCCACGCACCTCGAAGGGTCCCCGTTCTCCCCTTGGGGACGCACCACCACACTCAACACTCACTTGTTAATGCCGTTCTTGGTGCCACGTGCTGAGCTCAGCATTTCACACAAGTTACTTCACTTAACCAAGAGCAGAGCTAAGGTTCCTTTCCACTAAGAGCCCCCCAGGCGCAGGCGGTCAGTGAGCAGCACAGCCCAGACCCACAGCCCGCCCGAGCCCTGCTCCTTGACCGCTCCCGCCCGCGGGCACTACGACCAAAGCCCCTGATTTCATCACGGAGGACTGCCACCGACTTCACGCGGAAATTCTTGGGGCCTTCTCCGCCCCAGGGCCGGCCTCTGCTCAGCCTTAGCCAGGCCCTGCCCACTGCAGGGATGAGTGAGGACAGTCAGGGATGCCCAGTGAGGCCCTGAGGAGGAGGGCGGAGCTCTCACTCTCTCCCTGACTGCGAGGGGAATCTGCCGGTCGCGCAGGGCACTGGGCCCCAAGGGAGGGACGAGAGCTGGGTACCTGAGGGTGACCACCTCCAGGCTGGGCATCTCCCGGCATATGGAAATCTAGGAGGGAAGAAAACGTGACTGGAAACACCACTCAGCACTGGTGTCGCGACCACACTTCCGTCAGGCCAGCAGAGAACTGTGTCTGAACCACGGTCAACTCCGTGCCAGGGGCCAAGGGGAGCGGCCTTGCTCAGCCAGGGCTCAGGGGAACATCTGTGAGAATGCTGGGCTCTGCGCCACACGCCACTCCGCAGCCAGACAGCCCCTCGGGCTGAAGGAGAAGCGTGTGTGCTTGCCGTGGCTCCCACGTCATGTAAAATTTAAACGGCACCATTGCTACCTGATGCCAGCTGTGACGGAGCACTCGCCACGTCAGGTGCCCTCAGAGGACACCGGGCAGGGGACCTCAACGCCCCTGTGCTGGGACAGACAGCCTTTCTTCTTGCTGTCCCTGAGGTATAAGGAAACGACAGAAGTCCCCTTTTTGCCAACAGAGCTGGGCCAAAAGGGAGCCGGCTTGAAACTGGACCTCAGATCGCATTCGTCCTACTAACTCAGTGGGACCGAGCAGCCAGGTGCTGGGGTTGGTCCAGAAAGCCCTGGGGACGGGTCAGGTTGCTGAATGGCACATTCCCGACCACATGAGACCCTGCCACGTGTGGGGCAGGGAGCCAGGGGCCAGTGCCAGGCAAGGCCCCTGACCTCACTGAGCTCACTGGACGGTCAGAGGCTTCATGTGAGCTTTTGTGTTTTTGCTGCTAAATATGTAACATTTCAGCCGCAGCACGAGGTAGAGTATGTCCAGGTGCTCTGGGTCCAGGCTTTTCTGGACTAGCCTAGTAGTGACTCAGCCACATTTAGTTTTATTGTAAGGAGAGAGAGAGTTCGAATTATAAAACAAAAGTATATTAAAAAGTAAAAGATTGGCACAAAATCCCTGTGTACGTTGGGGATATTCGTTTTAGGATTGAGAAAGAGAAAAAGAAAAATCTCTTTACAGACCCACATGTGCAAGTCCCCCCACCCCAGGAGGCTCAGTCTCTGCCTGCCGTGGAGGGGGCGGGACCGCGGGCTGGATCTGACCGATAGGCGAGGTGAAGTGAGGACGCTATAGGGAGGCCTTCTTCTCCTTAACGAAGAAAGACCAACCCTCCTGGGAGCCCCCTCCAGGTCAGAACTTCGACTCTGCTGCCCTCCTCTGTGAGCGAGACCAGCAAGTGACCAACGGCGCTGAATCATTTACAGGAATGTTTACGGGAACTTCAAAATACACTCGGGCACCACAGAGTTTTTTCACGAGTGGTTTTGCGTTACAAAAACTGCCAAGGCAGGGACGGAACTGATGGGTACGGTTTTGTGGCTTTTACAGTCCTCTGGGGTAAGAAGTCACAACTTTTGGGACTGGGGCCATTCGGAGACGATTAATGCAATACTTACGTCTGTGATACGGCTACCCCTGGGGAAAGAAAAGACACACATACTTTAATTTTGTATATTAAAGACAAAAATTCCAAACATTAATTATGACTACCTACAAACCATGGATGGTTGCCCAGATAACTGGCAAAAATGTCGTAAACTGTTTTTTGGTTGATTTTTCAACAAAACTACATGTTTGATGCTTGGAGGGTACTTTTCACACCAAGGAGCAGTAGGGGTTGCTCCATTTGTAGGACACAAAATGATTTACTCCTTCTCCGCAGAAGGTTAATTTCCCCCGCTGATGTAAACAAGGGAGTCTTTATAGGAGGCCAAGTTCAAAGGCTAAACATGCAACTCATGAAGCAAACTTTAAAAGCCTGAAATAGGGCTGCTGTTTCTCTGTGCCTAGAGAAGTACTGGCCATCCCACGCCACACAAAGACGTACACAATCGAAAGCAAATGATTCAGGGGAATTGTGGCCAAAACACCAGATGTGCCAGGGCAGAGAGAGAGACTTTAATCAACACGGAGCGACGCCCTCCTGTCCGGCGCTGACACCGCTGGAGGAAGGGTCCGCCCCTGCCGCCCTGCCACCCGCGCTGCGGCCAGTTCACAGGACGCCTCAGCCCCTCGGCCGGGACCTCAGGGGGCACCTGGACTCCAGGCTGCGGCCTCTGGAAGCCCTGTCTTCCTCGGCTCAACGCGACCCGCCCACGCGCCGGCGAGCCCGCGGGGGCGCAGCACCTGGGCCCTTCCCGTCGCCTGCCGGCTGGGACGCCGGCCCGGCACCAACGCCCCGCGGCACCGGGGTCTCAGCCGTCCTTCCCCGGCCTCCCACCGCCGGCGCCGGCGCAACGCCCCCGAGAGTGTCCGGGAAACCGCGGCTGTGCTGGGCGAGCGCGCAGGGACCCGTGTCCCGAGCGCCGCCCTCGGGGCGCAAGCACCGCAGTGACCGCGCCGGGGCCCCGGGCCCGCGGCGACACTCACAGAGGCTGGCCCGAGGCGCCCCCCGTCCCCGGGGTTCCCGTCTCCCCGACCCCGGCGCCCCGTTCTCCCGGGCCCCCCAGGACCCCCTTGAGCACCCCGGGCCCCCCAGGACCCCAGAGCCCGCCTCCCGGCCGCGGCGCCCCGCTCCCCCGGGCCCCGCCCTCCGGCCCCGCTGTCCCGACCCCGCGCTCACCAGCAGTTGAGCTTGCGCACTCTGTGCAGCTCTGAGGCCTTGGCCCGGGCCAGGACCATCTTCCGCGTCAGCTTCATGGCGGCGGACCCCCGGCCCGGCCCCAGCTTCCCAGCTCCCCTCGCTGGGGACCGCTGCGCCGCGCGCGTCTCTAGGAGGCGGGGCCTGCGTCGTCAGGGGCGGATCCTGCGAGCCCATTGGCCCCGGACGAGGAGGCGAGGCTGCGCGAGCGTGCTGGGGCTGCCTGGGCACCGCCCCTCCCACCCAGCCCCTCGGACCCGGTCCTGCGCATGCGTGGCTTGGGCGCCCGGCTCTGACGCGATTTTGGCGCGACTTGCGACGAGCGACGCGAGCTGCAGCTGGTGGGGTGCACGCGTGGGCGCCGGGCGGGCTGCGCTCCAGGTGTCGGCCTCACGCGCGTCCTCGGCCGAGCGCCCGGGCCTGTCTGAGCCTGGGCCGAACGTAGACGGGGAGGGGTGCGTCTCTGGCCGCTTCACGGCGATTCGCTCTGGGAGGAAGACCCGGGCAGCTCTGCGTCGTGAGGTCGCCGCCCTCTGCCTCCCTCCCGGCGTTTACGGAAGAGCCGCAGGTGCCCAGGGCATGGGCAGGCCCAGCAGACACCTCACAAGTGTCTCAGCCTTTTAGGACTCAGAGGTGACCGCGTAAATATCATTACCGGGGCTAAGCTGCATTGAGGCAGGCGGTGGGGACCGCAGACCTAGAGGGGGCGGAGAACCCCCCTGACCCAGCTTTAGCCAGGCTCCTCCAAGCTCTCTTTTCTGCTCGGCCTGCCCAGCCGGTCTCAGCAGACTCCCGCTAAGTGACCCCCCACGCTGATGGAGTTCTCACTGCCTACCCTTGGTTCCTGACCATCTTGGCCCGCTTTACCAAGAATCCGCCCACATTTAGTTTGCCAACCTAAATAGAGACACTAAATCATGTCCAAATATGTTGAGTGTACTTGGGAGTAAGAAGTGCGGATTATAATCTGGAAAGCACGGAATGGCAAACCACTGGTGCATCCGGCAAGGGAAGGGTAAAGGGACGCTTTTCTTAGCCGAAAGGGAGAAGTTCACATAAGCTGCTTAGAAACAGTTAATTAGTTCCAGGGGCTCAAAGTCAAGAGTTGTGAGTTTATTGGTGGAGACGCCATTACTGGGCAAATGTTCTTCCAAGAGCATCTTAGTGACTGCAGTCCTGAAGGACGACTAGTGACAAACCTTGTCAAAGCAGGAGATGCGTGAGCACGTGAAAGGGTTTCTTGTGGGCTTTTTAGAAAGTTCTTGAAAACAGTTCTTAGACATATAAGCATGAGCTTCCCTCCTCTCCTTCAGGCCTTCCCAGCTCTGTTTTGTCTGGGGCTGGCAAAAGTGATTTCATCCTGGTCTCTGCAACTTTCTTACTTGGAAGATCACGATAGGCTTTATTTGTGGTCCTAGCATCAGGCAGCACTGCGTTCTGTAACACAGAGTGGGCAGAGCAGGTTGGTTTTATGGACAAAAAATGGCTTAAAAAAAAGAACTAAAGGTGAACTGGTCCTTTCAAAGTTTGTTTCCTTGTAAGGCGGGAACACGGAAACAGAGCAATAGCAAAATATAACAACTAGTTAACATCAGGTTACTTCAGGTTACTTTTTGTTGTAGGGATTGAGAGCAGGGGGAGCTTCATCATCATGCCAATTGAAACTGAATTGTTTGGGAAATTTGGCTGTTTCTCTCCTGATTTCTGGGAAGGCCAGATCTTTAGCGTGAGTGACTTCATCTTGTTTTTCAGTCTGTTCTGAATATCCTAGTATAGGAGTTTAGTCCAAAAAAGTGGCCTCCTATACTTTTTATTTAACACCTCTTACCGTAGTTTAGAAGGAATCTGCCTGTCCTTGGTGTCTCTTCTTAGTAATTTTCTGTCCACTGACCCGCTCACGCTGCTCCTTGGCTAAATCCCCACCTGTCCTGGGTGTCGTCAGAGTCGAGCCCAGTCTTTCTCCCCCATTGCGATAGTCTTGAATAAAGTCTGCCTTACGTCACAAGTGTCAGAATAATGTTTTTCTTTAACGTAGGTCCAAGGTTGCTGTCCTTGGATGTCACGACGACACCTGAAGGCCAGTGTCCCTGAGACCAGTGGGGACCTGCCTGGATGAGGGACCTGTGGCACGATGGGGGCTGTGATCCAGCGGCAGAGCACAGCTTCGCCTTCCTCACGGTGGAATTACGGACGATACAGGCAGCGCTCAGAGAAGTAAGACATTCTCACGGGTGTTTAGCAGCCACTGCTGTGTTTTGTCCCACTTGTACTTTGCTGGGCCGTGGGGTGCTATGGGTGTTTATCAGTCAGATTCTTGGCCTGAGCCTCTCATTGACACCTGAGTGAGGTACCCTGAAGAAATGATGCACGAGCCTCCCTAGGTGACAGAACTTTCGTGTTGCTTTTGGAGGAGGAAGGTCAGCTCACAAGCGGTGTGGTAGAGCTGGGCAGAGCTCTCAAGCAGACACTGGCTTTAGTTGCAGCTGCCTCGGTTCCCATTAGGGTCCTGGGTTTTAGGGAAGAAGAGGATGGCTCCCATGCTGAAGCCAGTAGGCACTGAAAGCAGGGGTTTGGTGATGGCCTGCAGGTGCGCTCTGGGTCGGTCACACGGAGGAAACATTCCAGGAGTAGAGTGGCCCAGGGGCTGGGGGAGGAGCCAGGTGCCGTGCTCAGGGTGGCGTGGTGGTTGTTGGGTTAGTGCAGGACCTGGGAGAATAGAGGCCTCAGAGTAGCACACTCTGACTTCTTTGCCAGCAAGCAGGCAGAGAACAGTCGGTACTAACGAGGCTAGAGCTAAGCGAAAGGCGGGCACCGGAGCTCGGCCCCAGCAAGAGTGGTAGGAAGCTCCGGCAGGCTCAGTCTGCGTGAGCTCACAGGGGGCCTCTGGCCATCCCAGTTGGGGGCCACGTCTGGAGCTGCCAGGAACCATAGAGCAGGCTGTAGCTGGCAGCTGGCCCTGAGAGCCAAGAGAGGGTGCTGAAGTCCCCACAGAGAGACTGCAGGAAGATGGGTAAGGCCACCTTGGGTGGATGGAAGGAGCCAAGCCTTGGCAAGGCCCCCCTTTCTGTGCTGGGGAGACTGGGTGGGCCTGTGGTGTGGTGTCATGGGCTGTGAGAGACACCGGCAGGCTGGTGGCTGCTGGGGAGAGGGCTTTGGAGTTGCTGGCCCTGTTCCTCCTGGGTGTGACCCAGCTGGCCTTGGTGGCCCCTCCCGCTTCTGCCCGTGTGGCCGAGGTGAAGGGCCAGTCCAGGTGGAGGGTGAGCCATGCCTGGTGACAGGGCCCTGTGGGGTGAGGCTGCCTGCAGGAGGGCTGTACCTGGAGGGTTTGCAGGTGCTGGGGCTGAGGAAAGAGCCCCCAGAGGTCTGACCGGAGCAGGTGGAGGCCCTGCACCTCGGGGAGTGTGGATCTCGCCGCTCTGAGGAATCGCTTTGGAGCAGTGACCAGTCCTGAGTGCCGCAGCCCCGGACTGACTGGTGGGAGGCAGGAGCACTTGGCCACGTGGCGTTCCAGCCGTGGGTGCTCTGGAGCCCTGCGCGTGTCGGCGGCTGCTCGAGAGGGTGCTTGGGGTGTGGGTTGGTTGAAGGTCCTGGCAACTTCAAGGATGTGGTAAAGTAAGGATTCTCCGAGTGGTAAGTAGAGGCGTGGTGGTTTGGGGGGGTGTCACCGTGGCCAAGCTGCGTTTCCCAGAGCTCCCTGCCCCGCGTGGCTCCAGGCTAGACTTGAGCCTGGGAGAAATTGGCGTGAGACCTGGAAGATGGAGGAGGAGCAGCCTCCACCACAGGAGGGCTGGTCTGGTTGGAGATGGGGAGGGGCGCAGACATGGGCAGGGTCTTCCTCGCTGTGCTGCCAGTTCCCCTGCTGCGAACCTGCAGAGGCAGACACATTCTGCAGCCCACTTCACCGCCTGCGGCGGGCCTGTGTCCAGAGCTGGACATGTCGGGGTCTCCGTCTCCCCACCAGGGGGCGCTGCTGAGGGACCCGCCCCATCTCCAACTCCTCCTGGATTTCTGCTTCCCTCATCCCCTCGCAGTTGAATTCCTGTAATAAACGCCTCATTTCGTAGCACTCCTCAGGGGCTTGCTTCCCCGAATGAACCCTAACACAAGCAGAAATGCAACCGCAACCCAAACTTGCTCAAACCAGAGACGCTGGCTCACATTACTGTGAGCCCAGGGCGGGGCCTCGGGCACCGTTGGCGGGGCCTGGTCCCTACCGAGCCCTCTCCTTGCGCCGCGCCCACCCTGCTCGCTCCCAGGTGAGCTGCTTCGGGTGGGCGGGAAGAATGCCTCCTCGCACTCACTCAGGTCCGAGTCACAGGCTGACCCTGGGCCGTTGCTGTGGCCTGGCCTTGGGCCACCTGGCTGCAGGCCTGTCACGTGTCTGCTCTAGAGCTGGGCTTGAGGATGACCCAGAGGAAGATCCAAGCAGTGTCCTCTCCCGGAGGGAAGTAGACGCCTGGTGGGTGCTGCGCTGTGCCGTTCCCTGCGGATGGCTCACACCCTTGCCTGTGCTCGCTCGTTTTCGTCGCACAAAGCCTTCTGTAGTCCGGCCGAGTTCCCTCTGTGAGCAGTCGCAGGTCAGTGTCAGCACTGCCCTGGGTGTGCTCTGGGCCTTTCTCGGGGGCCCTGGGGTTGTGCTTGTGGCCCTGGCCAAAACAGGACAGTGTCCACCCTTTTTTTCTTTTTTCAGTTTTCCAGGGTCTCTACAGTCAGTACCTGCTGAGCGGATCCAGTCCTACCCCAGCTGAGTCATGGGCTTCTTGTCCACCAGTGCCACATCCCGACGCGCATGGCTGCCCTGGAGCCCTGACAGCAGCGCTGGCTGTGGGCGCACCCTGCAGCGCCCTCCCTGTCTGACTCTGGACGCCCTCCGGGCTGGTGGCGCACAGGGCCTGGCCGCCAGGGGTCCCAGTGCAGCTTGTGGGGCCTGTGGCGCTGCTTCCCAGGGGTGACACCGGGGTGACACAGACCTGGGGGAGCCTGCTCTGCTCCCGCAGACTGACCGAGTGAGCTGCCGTGCAGGGGGAAAGGGAATGTGTCCCTCCTGTGTCTCAGCCACGGGACCTGGTGGACCCAGGACTGCAGGAGCCGCCGGGGAAGCGGGAATGTCGGTGTGGGCAGGAGGGCACGAAGCCAGGTATTGTGGGCGTCCCCAGACCCAGTCACCCGCTGCCTGCCCAGGGCTGATTCCTGCCAGCTCACCGATGAGAGCTGTC